GTTGACTAAGCGAGGAGGAGGAGGAACGGGGGTTTTGTCTTGTGGCTACGATGGATCACATCCCTGGGAGGCGAGGCGTGTGGGTGGGTGGGTGGTTGGGTTAAGGAAGTGTTCCAAGCTTTGCCCCTTCCTCCTCCTCTTCCTCCTCCTCCTCCTCTCCCGGATCCGTCCTCCCCTCCTCAGCTTGGTACCGCTACCCGTTTCTTAGGGTGACCTCCAATGGCAGCACGCCCGCTCGCTCGCTCGCTCGCTCGGCTAGCAGCAGTCTCTTCCGACAGGGAGCTGGTTCCTTGGTTACAGGGCTCGGTCAGGTGTGCTTTAACTACAGCTCTGGGCTGACTGGAGGCCTCAAAGCACAGGTGCTGTGAGGTGTATCTAGTGATTTATTATCCTGCCTTTATGGCATGTTAATTAATTCAATGCGGTGAATGTATCTAAAATGCTTGCTGCCTCCTATTTTCACCACAACCACCGCCCTGTAAGTTAAGTTTGGGCTAAGAGAGAGAGGGGGTGTCACAGTTTTTTTGTGCCTAAGGCAGGACTCACCATCTCCTAGTGATTGGCCCAAAATCACCCAGCCGCTTTCAGGTGGGACTAGAACTCACAATCTCCTGGTAATTGCCCTAAAGTCACCCAGATGGTTTTCATGCCTAAGGCAGGACTAGAACTCAGAGTCTTCTGGTGATTGCCCTAAAGTCACCCAGATGGTTTTCATGCCTAAGGAAGAACTAGAACTTACAGTATTGATTGCCCCAAAATCTGGTTTTCGTGCCTAAGGCTGGACTAGAACTCACCATCTCCTGGTGATTAGCCAGAAGTCACCCAGGCTAAGTTATCATCACCAGGTTTCTAACCTGGTGCCTTAATCACTAGACCAAACTGGCTCTCTGATTGATTGATTTTCTCTGATCAATCAATCTAAATGGACTTCTAGTCCTAGAATTACCCCTCACCCATGGCTCAGCAGGTTGTGGAATTCTGGGATTTGAAGTGCACACACCTGGAGATGTGAACGCAATGCTTTTTTTTAATTTTTCCAAGCACATTCATAGGGACTAGGGCCTTGCTTAATTCACAAAGGCAGCATGAACCTGGAGGGTCTAACAATGTTGAATGCTCAGCTCTACACCACAATACACCTCCGTAGCTCGGGAACATCCAGTGCACCCATGAAGAAACACACACAATTTAAGTCTCTGATATTCCCAAAACCTGTTGGATTTCTTGAGAAAATGCTACAGGCTGTTTATGTTTTCACCCTTTCTCTCACAGTCAGTGCCATTGTCATAAGAGGCGGGACTAGTTCTGCAGAAAGGAAAATAATAATTAACATTATTAACAGGGCTCTGCAGCAGAATAGGGATTTTGAAAGATTTTGAAAGCAAGACAAGAAAGCAAGGTTAAACTGACCGCAAACGCCATACCAGAGTTTGGAGTCATGCTCTTGTGATAGATTGCATGCTTCCAAAAGCATCCTTCTATTTCCCACTGTAGAGTTGTGATTGCAGGAATGTTCCAATCTCGGATGGCAAACCTCAGATAAAGAATGTTTCCAAGCAAATACAACTCAGGCAAACAAAGTCACTAATCTAAAGGAGGATTAGAGAGAGGAAGCAAACATATGTTAGACTAACTAGAGATAATTAATTACTGTGCTAAACAGTAACCAAAGTTAAGCAGTAACCAAAGTTAACCAGTGATGGAGGATAACTAAAAATGTGTATAAATGCAAGACTAGACTCCAATAAAGATCATCATGGTTCAGTTGTTCATGCAAGACTAGACTCCAATAAAGATCATCATGGTTCAGTTGTTCATGATCAAACAACTTGACTGCCTCGTCATTACAACATCCCACAGGATCTCAGAAGAAATCTCCCAAAAAGGGTCCTTCTCTAAGGTGGACCCCTTCCTTTGGAACAGCTTATCTGCAGATCCCCAGATCTCCTTGCTAGATTACTAGAGAACTCTCCAAAACTAAGGAAGGAGCCAGCAGTGCGCAGCGGAAGCCAAAAACGCCAACACAACCCTAAGTTGCATTAACAGAGGGATACAATCAAGATCAAGTGAGGTACTAATACCCTCTATAAAGCTTTAGTAAGACCACACCAAGAGTACTGCATCCAGTTTTGGTCACCACACTATAAAAATGTGTTGTGACTCTAGAAAGAGTGTGGAGAAGAGCAACCAGGATGATCAGGAGACTGGAGGCTAAAACATACGATGAACGGTTGCAGGAACTGGGCCTGGCTAGTCTAGGGAAGAGAAGGACCAGGGGAGACAGGAGAGCAGCCTTCCAATATTTGAGGGGCTGCCACAGAGAGGAAGGGGTCAAGCTATTTTCCAAAGCGCCTGAAGGCCAGACAAGGAATAATGGATGGAAACTGATCAAGGAGAGATTCAACCTGGAAATAAGGAGGAATTTTCTGACAGGGAGAACAATCAACTGATAGAATAGAAGTTGCCTTCAGAAGTTGTGGGAGCTTCATCATGGAGGCTTTCAAGAAGAGTTTGGACTGCCATTTGTCAGAAATGGTGTAGTAGGGTCTCCTGCTTGGGTGGGGGGTTGGACTAGATGACCTACAAGGTCCCTTCCAAGTCCCAACTCTGTTAATCTATCTAAGATGGAGCCATTCCAGAGATCCATATTAGGACTACTAGAAATAAGCCACAAATCCACTAAACCAATACTAGAGGGGCACAAGCCCATGGACATCTAGGGGTCATATAAAGTTTTGCAGCTCATATTTTTGTCTGCGTGATCCTAGGAATTCCACAGTGGGCTTGTGCTCCAGATCAACCAAACCTTTCTCTACTCTGCCTTATTTCTGAGGATCAGGTATTTTATTCCCCCCAAGATCAAGGGATCTATTCTGAGGACATAATTATCTCTTCCCTGGGGAGGTCATTGGTGCACTTGCCATCTGCACACCTAATTATGGCTCCCTTTGGAGAGTTTTAAATGCTGACATGTGAAAAAGCTGCTCCATGTTTCTCAGTAAACAGGAATCATACAGCAATTCACCCTCACTGAGCTAGCTTGAGGACGAAGCAGAGAAAAGCAAGTATCTCAGGCTGCAAATATCGGTTGTTTCAGAAGATTTCAACAGATCCAACAGATTTAACATGTAATCCAAACAGATTTACATAGACTTATAGGGCTGGGAAGGGTCTTCTAGCCCAAACCCCCAGCTTAAGGTAGGAGACCTTGTACAGGTAGTCCTCAATTTACAACAATTCATTTAGTGGCCGTTTGAAGTTACAATGGCACTGAAAAAAAAGTGACAAACTAACCGAGTTGGAAGGGACCTTGTAGGTCATCTGGTCTAACCCACAACTCAAGTGTTGAAGCTCCCACTGTCAGCTTTGGAAGCCATATTGAGATCAGATGCTCCCACGTTGCCACATTTTGAGGCTGGGAAAGGGGGGGGGATTTTTTGGAGAGTATGCAGTTAGATCTAATAACATTCTTTTTCTAATTCAAGGTCATGTTATTTTGCGCATAAGTGAAGGGACGTCTCAAGTTGGGGTGGATGATGACTGGGGCACGTGATGTGATGATGGGTGTATTAGTGGGTTGGATTTGTACTTTTTACTTATTGCAAGGAAGCCTGGAATTTTCAGATTTGGGATTCCCCGGTTGTGCTGATTTGCTATCCAAGTAAAAAAGAACTTTTGAGAAGATGCCTGTCTCAGAGTTATTGGTTGGAATGGAGGTTTTCTGCAACACTGATACCCACAACCTCCAAGCTGTTCCATTGATTGATTGCTCTCCCTGTCAGAAAATTCCTCCTTATTTCCAGGTTGAATCTCTCCTTGATCAGTTTCCATCCATTATTCCTTGTCTGGCCTTCGGGTGCCTTGGGAAATAGCTTGACCCCCTCCTCCTCTCTGGGGCAGCCCCTCAGATACTGGAAGGCTGCTATCCTGTCTCCCCTGGTCCTTCTCTTCACTAGACTAGCCAGGCCCAGTTCCTGCAACCGTTCTTCAAACTTTTAGCCTCCAGTCCCCTAATCATCCTGGTTGCTCTTTTCTGCACTCTTTCTAGAATCTCACCACCAGCCAAATGTTTTATTTTGATACTTATAGGTACCAATCACACCACAAAATATTGTCCATTTTGCTTTCTGAATGTTGTTTCAACATTATTTCTAGAATGGTTTATTATCTAGGCCCCAGATTTCCGATTTTAAAATATTTATGAAGCACCAAGCATGCAAAAGCAAAACACAGTATTTCAAAACAACAGCATACTGTGACAGCCTCTTGTAACAATACTGTAACAACTTCCTTGAAGGATACTTATTCTTCCTTGCTACACTTTTTTCTCTTTTGGGATAGTGATACTTGTCAAGCAAACTTTTAAGAAATGCAGTAAACATTTGAAAACAAAAACAAAAAACCACTAGCCTCTCTCCCCATCTATGCATTTGCCAAATCTCCTGTATTTTTAACAGGCCAGCATTCAACAGATCTCTTTTTCCATAACATGGACAGCAAACAATGAGAGAAAATCCATACTTGCAGGGGTGTCTATTTTGACTTTCCAGATGAATCTGTATTAAAAAAAAAAAACAGTTTAAAAATCTTTAAAAATAGCCCACAAGGGCTGCCACAACGTCCAAAATTAAAACCACAGAAAAAGAATACAATGCAAGAATCAAATCAGATCAGCATTCATAAATAAGAATCTAGCACCCATATTGCTAAGATTTTGATTACATTAGATATGCATATCGTAAATATAATAAATATTAGTACTGTACCCATATTAATGAGATGCAGGGGGCAAATGCCACACGGGCACCAGAAGCTCCTCCCCCTCCCTACCCTCGCAGGTCAAAAGAAGAATCTCTGGTATGGGTGTCTATCCAAGTGCCTGTTGTTTTTTAATCTCGCCCTGCCTTGCCCGGAAGCTCTGCTCTTCCAGCCACGAGGAGGAGGGCGAGAGCTCTCTTTCTCTCCCCTTCTCGTCTTCTCTTTCTCCGCGGGAGGAAAAGGCAGTCCACCTCTCAGGCGCCGGGGAGGAGTCGTCAGGCACTTTTTTAAGCCGCCTTTCTAAAAAGCAGTTGCTCGCCCTTCGAGGGCCCCCGAGGCTAGGCGAAGCTGCCGTACAACATGGCGGCGCTCTGGGGAGGGCGCTTCCGGGTTGAGCCCTGGCTCCGTTGTACGGCGCGGGCTCTTTCGGCAGGTAGAGTCGCCTCCCCAAAAATGGGGGGAGGGGGATTCTTTGAGTTGGGAGGGGGAGGAGGCTTTGAGGGGGAGGGGGGTCCCATATTCCCAGCAGAGCTAGCAGAAGGCGCCTTGTGCTTGCACAGGCAGACGTTCAACAGGTCGAGCTTTGCCTGGCGGGGCTACACCTGTTGCTTTGCAATGGAGCCCATGAAGTCGAAGTGGGGTGGATTCTTGGGGTGCCCCTTGGCCCTCTGGGGCTGCGGGAGCACGCCTGCCTGTGGGAGATGGGCATTGCAATCCGCAGCCCCAAGTTGCAAAAAAGCATGCTCAGCCCTTATTCTGTTCTTCTGCCTTTGGGGGGGGGGGGGGTGTTGTTTGCTTGTTTGCTTGCTTAAAAGTTGCCAAAAGTTGCCAAAACTGACCTCGACTCCAAAAAGGCCGCCTCATGCTTTGCAGTACTGGCTTCAGGGAAAATACAGGCTGATTACCCCAGTGGGGACAACTGGAAGTTCTTGTTTCATGCACTTTGGGCAGTTCCAGTTACTGGCAAGACTGGTTTTTTCTGGGCATGTACATGGATACCTCTGAACTAGGCTGTTGTTTCTGTGTCATATAATATATGGAGGTATATACCAAACATAGGGATGTGGTGGTTCCGTGGCTAAGAAGCTGAGCTTGTCGATCAGAAAGGTTGGCTGTACGGAGGTTCAAATCCCCAGCACCGCGTAACGGAGTGAGCTCCTGTTTATTTGTCCCAGCTTCTGCCAACCTAGCAGTTCAGAAGCATGTAAAAATGCAAGTAGAAAAATAGGGACCCCTTTGGTGGGAAGGTAATGGCGTTCCGTGCGCCTTTGGCGTTGAGTCATGCCGGCCACATGACCACGGAGGCGTCTTCGGACAGCGCTGGCTCTTCGGCTTTGTAACGGAGATGAGCTCCACCCCCTAGAGCCGGAAAAGACTACCACGGATGTGCGAGGGGAACCTTTACCTTACATAATTTTGTATTTATTTATTTTGACATGTTGTCGAATTGGTCACCAGCCAGACACCAAGGAACCATAACGCAAGCGAAAAGTTTTCGAGCTGGGGAAAACAACCCCATTATATATGAGCCATGGTGGCACAGTGGTTAGAGCGCAGTACTGCAGGCTACTTCTGCTGACTGCCAGCTGCCTGCAATTTGGCAGATCGAATCTCACCAGGCTCAAGGTTGACTCAGCCTTCCTTTCTTCTGAGGTCGGTAAAATGAGGAGCCAGATTGTTGGGGGCCAAGAGGCTGGCTCTGCAAACCGCTTAAGAGAAAGCACTATAAAGTGGTATATAAATCTAAGGGCTATTGCTATTGCTCTTCTTTTCCCCTTCCTTCCTTCCTTCCTTCCTTCCTTCCTTCCTTCCTTCCTTCCTGCCTGCCTGCCTGCCTGCCTGCCTGCCTGCCTGCCTGCCTGCCTGCCTG